CTAGATTTTCTTTTTTTTTTATCATGTCTATCTGGTTCAACTATTTCCATGTAATGTGTATAACATAATAGATCACCAGAAATTTTTTGGAAAATAAACTTCCCCTTGATTTTTAGGACATGTCACATGACTAATATTGCTGAATTATCCATTCAAACCACAGATGATCTGTACAATCCAGATGATCCAGATGATCTGTTTGAATCCAACAGATGTATTTTTTGAGCAATTAACAGATGACGGATTGATTTTTTGAGATAAATGACGGATGAATAGATGATGGATATCCACGGATCGCATCTCTAATGCTGTGATCCATTTTTATTAATGAAAGAATACAACTCAACCAAATCAGAGCATAGTGGAAATTCTATTTTGATTGACATTCGCAATTATCACATTACATTTGATTTCCATGTAACATATATTTTTATATTAGTATTAATATTACAACGAATGCAACATCACAACAAATTCTTTAGTTTTTCTTTTTGTTAGTTGATATTTTGTCTTTTGTTAGTAAGCTTTCATTTTTTTTTGTTAATGTCATAATGAATTCTTGTTTTTCTTTTGTTGATAATATTACAAATTCATTTCTTTTGTTAATTAATATTTCATTTTCATTTTGTTGATAATATTACAAATTCATTTTCTTTTTGTTAATTAATATTTCATTTTCTTTTGTTGATAATATTACAAATTCATTTTCTTTGTTAATTAATGTTTCATTTTCTTTTGTTGGTTAGATATTACAATGAATTTATTTTCTTTTATTGATATTACAACAAATTCATTTTCTTTTGTTAATATTCTTTATTTCTTTTGTTAAATAAAGGTTCTTTTGTTTATTATAACTTGTAAATCATTGTTTTTTACAAATATTTAAACACTGCAAATTTTGTTTTTGTAAAATCTCATGTTGAAAATAAAATAATAAAATAAAAAATAAAAAATTATTAAACATTAACCAAATCCCATTAAAATCAACTATGCCAAAAGCAAAAAATCTTGGTCCATGTATAATATCTGATTGCAAAAATACTGCTGTAAAATTTAATAAAATGACCAGTTATACTATTGAAAAAAAAGAGATAAAAATTCTGAAAGACAATATGACTTTATAAAGGAGGGTGATCAATTATGTTATACACATTACATGGAAATAGTTGAACCAGATAGACATGATAAAAAAAAAAAGAAAATCTAGTGAATCATTAAATAATGAAAATGTTCAAGTAATGACAGTTAAATTATATGGTGAACCTTCTTCATCTAGCAAGTCAACTGATGAATTAGATTGGTCTAAAATTAAACTTAATTTTGATGAAGAAAATTTTATTGTATCAAAAGAAGATTTTTCATTATTAGTTAATAATATAAACCAAATAAAATTACAACTAGACAATATAACATGTACATGAAGATTCTAGTGTTCATATAACAGATAAAGATGTTAATGATGGTAATTTTTTTTTATTTTCTTAAATTAAAAATTAATCAAGTGACTAATCAATTAAATTATTATATTATATAGTTACTTTTGGATCAAAAATCAAAGTTTTAAGCAAAGTCCTTTATGATCAACAAAAAAAATTCAAAGGTAGTGTTGAATTGGACCCTGAGAAATTCTCTAATATGATAAAAAATCAAGATAGCAGATTAGATGGGTTTTTTGATGAAATGGTCAATGCAATTATTCCAACAGAAAGAAAGGAGAAAAAACAAAGATGCAAAAAAATCAATCATTACATTTTGTTACTTGCTAGCAGGTTTATGTAACAAATTCACTAATTCCATAAAACTTGAATTGGCCTATATCTTGTTGGTGCTGGAACAAGTTGTACTGCCATAGATACTTTGTCTAAAATTGGGGTAACAACTTCCTATAAAACTATTGAAAATTATAAAAAACAATTAGCAAAAAGTCACCCAGAAAAAATTAATGAGTACTTCAATGAAAATGTAAGTGATTAGATAACTTAATAATTGTAACATTAAATTTAAAAAAGCTTATTAAGTATGTACTTAAATTTTAGATAAATAACTTGTTCTGTTTCAACCTTGATGATTTTCATAATATACATGGTTGGAGGTTACCAAACACTTTATCTACTGCAATCCATATGGCAACTTGTGTGTCAAAAAAATTGAATGTAGATCAATTCCTGAAATATCTATTTTAATCCTAATAACATTGAATCACACAGAATAAACTATCAGTTAATACATAATTTTAAAGGGGTACTTGATCAAAGTTACAATGATAGAAAAATAAAATGGATCTCTTCAAGTGCATGACAATTTTTAGAGTCCAATAGAACAGAATCACTTACTATTCATTTCTACAACAGGATAGATCTATGATAGGAACAAGAATAGTTCAATTCCAAGAGAGCAATCTACATTCATTAGATGATTATGTAAATGTTTTAACATCAATAAGCAAAATATAAAGTATTTCTAGATATTTAGTAAATAATATATAATACCTGTTTCAGCAGATTGGCCTGGTCAGCTATTTATTAGGAAGGCAATAACTAAGATAAGGAGTCAAAATGCTAACAATATTATTAAAAATTTTATACCTTTAATTGGCCCTTTACATGTTTCATTGAATTTGAGGGAACATGTGGTATTAATTCATTGGGAGTTTTTTAACAAGATGTATCACTCTATTTTTGGACCAAATAAGGTTTTGGCTCAAAAGCCTAAGCCTTGGAGAATAAACCTTTTGTTGGATCTTCTAAACAGAGGATGGAAAAAAATATCCCATATAATATTAAATAAATTTCCAACAAATTGTAATGTTGAATATAGAATGATGGTAGACCTTCTAGATAATATAATACCTTCAACATTAGACATATATGCAGTTTTATTCAGATCTGGTTCTTTTGATGAATATTTGGAGACAATAATTCGTATCTGGAGTTCTTTGCATTGAGATGGAAACATAAAAATTATAATAAAGCTCCATTAGCTTTTTTATCAGATTATTTTTATTGGAAAGAAAATTCTTATCCATTTAGTGAATCTATAAAAAATACCTTGTAAACTTCAATGACTATTATGTTGAAAACATACATAGTCAAATAAGAGCCAATACTACAACATTAGATTCAGCAAGTGCCATGATAAATGATGTATACCTCCTTGATCTTCACGATCAAACAACCATAAACACATTTAAAAATTATTGTAAATATCCATATAAAGAGCCAGTCCTAGAAGGATTGACAAATAGAACCAGTATATTTTTACTGGATCATTTCCATTTGATTTATATAAGATTATTCCTGAAACAAATATAAATATTGAATTAAATAGAAGAATCAAATGAGTAAATGAATGGTAAACATTATTTAGAGTTGATTTTTTTTATATACATGTTGTTAACATAGCGGGCTTTCTATTTTATGGAATGATCGGCATCAGTTACACCACATATATTTCATATGTAAAATTTGCATTGCCTGACTTTAAACCAATTGTTGGCCACCAAAACCGATTGTTGAACAATATAAACAATATATTCTAATTTTTCAACTTCTATTTTATATATTTTCAAAGTA